GGTGGGTGCGGGCGAGGGGACAGTTAACTCACAGGGCAACACAGGGGGGGGAGAGAATGGGTGCCCAATGGGCCCGCCGACAACCGGACCATCATTGACACGTGGAACGCAGGCAGAGCAAAGAACAGTCATGTCCATAGACACCGATGACGACAAAGAGTTGGACATGACAGCGATCAAGCCGAAGCTCGTGCCAGGAAGACCGTTGCCTCAAGGATTTGCCCCGAACCCGTCGGTGCCATACTTGCTGCAGGACAAGTACAAAGAGTCATCGGAGGACGATTGGGGTCATCATATCCTCTGGCATGAGGGTGTGTTCCAACCGTGCGTGTTCGCACGGACATGGCAGATGGCTGTGAAGACAAGAGACCGAGGTTGGGGCGCAAAGGAGAAAAAGGACGCTGCGATATGACACAGCGTGATGGAGACGCAAATTCATCGACGAGTTTTGAAAGAAAACGACGGTGCGAGCGAGGAGGCTATAGCAGCGAAGGCGAAAGCTTTGTTCGAGCATCTGCGCGCGAATAAACAACTTGAATTCAACACAAAGTTGTACGACCTCCCATCAAGTGTGTCGTACGGCTCCATCAATTGGAAAATCGACCTGCCTCCTGCAGCGCAAGGAATCGATAGCGTCACCTCTCTAAGGACTCAAGACGTAATCGCATCTAACACCATTGTTGCGATCGCCTGAGGGGACGCTGCCTGCGAAACGGACACACGTGCGAACGCAGGCCAAGTGCAGAATGAACAGGAGCAAGCATGTGGTCAACAAAGCACTCCACGAAGCGCAATGGGGGATACGACAATGATACTCAAGGACGACGACGACAATGTGATGGAGTCCGACGCATTGACAGAGCAGCCAACAGAGGGGACCAACGAAGGGACAACAAACGTTGGTTCTTTCGGGTCTCTCGTGGTGACAATGGCAGCGCTGAAGGGCATATCTGAGATGATGGAAACCGAAGCTGGCCATAATGATGAAAGTAATGCGTTGAAGGTGCCACAAGAGGAGGTGGCAGCAACAACAGAGCAAGCGGCGAAAGGTGAGGGTTCACGCGAACACATTTCTGTAATAGATATGAGATCGGAGAGTACGGGCGAGGAGATGATCCAAGACGATCCGGCAAGAGTTGAGGGTGACCACGAAAAGGAAGCCCAACCACTGAGACGGTCGACAAGACCTGTGATTAAAAAAGTAGTGAAGGACGCGTAGACATTACTTAGATTGAAATGGGCGTGTGCACAGGTGAGCTGATATTGATGTGTTGCCGCAATTAAGTAGGTTAAAAAAAGGTGTGAGAAAGGAATGGGTGTGTACACGTTACAAGTTTAACTGTTGTGTTGTTGCAAATGTTATCGTAACAGTGCAGTTTTAGAAATTGCACAACCGATCATATAGGGTGGCATATATCGATACATATTAGAGGTGAGTGTGTGTGTGTGTGTGTGAGTGAGTGTGTGTGTGTGTGTGTGTGTATGTGTGTGTATGTGTGTGAGAGTGTGTGTATGTGTGTGTGTGTGTGTGTGTATGTGTGTGTCTGTGTGTGTGTGCGTGTGTGTATGTGTGTGCTTGTGTGTGTTGGTATGTGTGTATCCAGGTTTGAATACACAGAGGTTGACTCGTTAGCAGCGTAAGGTTCTGTGTGTGAACTGACGGTGTGTGCGCAATCTTGTTACAATGTTATAATGAAGGCATATGACACACACTACAAAATGGCAGTTTTTCATTCTTGTCCAAAGGACACATAAGATTTCATCGAACTTGTTGTGCCATTTTTTACCCCGGAACGAATATTGTAGACTCGTGTTCTAAATATTACCAATAGTAATGAACACGATTAACAGAGGAAAGATGGAAGCAAGGTTACTAATAACTAACATAGCAAGAAAACAACAACAACAAAAAGATACTAATTCAKCACGAATTATAGCTGTGTTATACGGCATAATACGCGGAAGAGTGAAGGTCAGGGTGTTTAAGTAAACTCGATATACTATCATGTTGTCGGGATTTAGCAAATCGAAATGTAAAGGCCGTTTCGGGAAAGAATTTATGGTACGGCCCAATTATGGTAGCTTACACTGGCGCATGATGCATTGTCATGTGCAGAAAGGAGGAGCATAGARGAAGTACGAAGATGCAAAGAGGGATGGACGATCCACTTAGCGACGGATAAGTTGTCGGAGAAGGAGGAGGCCGCGGTACAACGTTTGCGAGATTCAGTGCAAGCGGAGGATCGATCGGTCTGGACATCCACGTACAACGGGGCAACAAAAGAAGAACTAGTTCTAACCGGGAATGATTTGAGCTTGATATTGCATCAAGGCAAATGGTTGAACAATGAAATAGTGAACTTTTACTTCAACCTCGTTAGGCTTGACAACATGTATCGCATAAGTCATCGCGAGTGTGATAGTGGAGAAGGCAGAACTGTAGTAGAAGGAAAAGGGCGCATCCCAATAACAGCAATATTTAGTTCCTTCTTCTTCGCAAAATTGTTCGATGACGATATGCAATACAATTACAACGCAGTGCGAAAGTGGATGACAGATATCGATGTGGGCGACGTAGACTTAATCATAGCTTCATTCCACGTTCGGATGTCCAACCATTGGACACTAGTAATAGCAGACTTAAGACGCTCGAAAATGGAGTACTACGACTCTCTAACACCTGACAAAGAATTCGCCTTGAAAGTGACAGGTGGTTTCGCAAGATTCTTGTTCGAAAGATCAATTGAACAAGGCAAGGTGGTAGATACAAAAGATTTCAACCACATATGGAATGTGTCAGGCATTACTAAGCAGCGAGGCATAAGCGAATGTGGCGTGTTTATGCTAACATACGCGTCACTATTGGCAAGAGGATTTCTTCCGCCTTTCAACTTCTCATTCGACGACGTGCAGGATCTAAGGGGACGGATCGCTTTAGACGTGCTCGTCACACCGAACTAGGGTTTACTGGCGCAACAAAAGTCGTATAGTAGATTACATTACGAAACCAAATCCGTTGTAAATTTTGTAAAAATGTAAAGACTTAATCGGCTATGATTTGTAGACACCCATTAACATTTTCGGATGTATGTAACAAAGCAACAGCGCAGGAAGCCCGATTGTACACATAACTGTTTTACTATCCTGACCTGGTACAATTGCTACCCTTA